ATGAGGCATTAAAGAGGAGGAATATCCCAAGGGAGGTGAGCTGAAGGCAAAGCAAGGCAGGTGTGAGGTTAGCAATGACTTTCAATCCCCTTTGATTAATCATGAGTGTATTTTGTTTAGTTCTTTTTCTGATTTTATCTGTATTGAGTCACATAAAGGAATCAGCCAGGCAGGAATCTGTGCATCACAATCCTGGGAATCTGTGACATCTGATCTCCTTTGTCCCACAGCTGCTTCCTTCTCTTTCTTGCTGGGCAGAGACCTATAGTTTGTTAGTGTTGAAGGAAGCATAGCAATTATCTAATATAAACTCTTTATTGTACACATGAGAATCTGAGGCTCAAAGAGTTTAAGTGACTTATCTAAAGTCACACAAAAGGAGGAGTTCTGACTCCCCCCGCCCCCAATGTTTTGTCAACAGGCTGCTGGCTCCTTTTAGCAGACGGAAGTTTCCTCCGATCTCAGACAGCTTTTTTCCCACGTGGAATTTGGTGCAGACACCCTTCACCATCTTTTCCCATCAGAACATGCATTTCTGGCAAGAGAGCAGCTCTGATTCCCTGGCTTTTCTTCCTATTTCCCCTGGATAAGGTCTGTATAGTTTTTTTTTTTTTTTTTTTTTTAATGGAAGAAGCCAAAGTACTGCAGTGAGGATATTGCTCTTTGGGATTCATTTAGGGGAACATGGTTTTCTTGGCCAAATGCCATAGTGAGCTAACCCTAGGTAGAAAGCACGGGCAGCATGAGGATGGACAAATGTAACCCCTCACAGGTTAGTAACGAAACTTAATACTTTCCTTTTTAAGGATGAAAAAACATCTCTGTATCCTAATAAGGTACATTAATTAAATAGCCTACGACTGGTAAGGCCCTGCAGGGGAATATCCTCAAAGCTAGAAGGCTGAGCTTTCTGAAAATTGAGAGTTCCTTGTAGCTATTGTCCTAGACATCCAAACCATGTCTATTGGAAAAGAGTTTGGCATGCAAAATTCATTCTCCTTGTTACTTCTGCTAGAGCTGAGACCGGCCTGGGCCACCTTCATCTGGTACAGACAAAGGACAATGAAGACACAGTATGTTATTGGGGACCTAGATCCTCCCAATACTGGATTTGTCTTTGAGACTTTCACTATTGTCAATGCATGGAAAGAATTAGACAGGTCGTGTGGGAAGAACATTCCTGATGAGATATTTTTATGAAAAATATGCTGGCAGCACATTTGGACTTATTGGTTTGAAAAAATGTTAGTGGTCATTGTCAATGTTTCCTCCCGTTTTATTTATTTATTTATTTTAAAATAAATTTATTTATTTTATTTTTGGCTGTGTTGTATCTTGTTTGCTGCAAGCGGGATTTCTCTAGTTGCAGAGAGCGGGCTTCTCACTGCGGTGGCTTCTCCTGTTGCAGAGCACAGGCCCTAGGCCTGCGGGCTTCAGTAGTTGTGGCACGCAGTCTCTAGAGCGCAGGCTCAGTAGTTGTAGCGCATGGGCTTAGTTGCTCCGCGGCATGTGGGATCTTCCCGGACCAGGGCTCGAGCCTGTGTCCCCTGCATTGGTAGGCAGATTCTTAACCACTGCACCACCAGGGAAACCCTCCTCGCATTTTAGATCCTTCATTCTTCTCTCTTCTGGGTAAAACCCACCCTCCTTCAGACCATTAAGAGCTGAGGAGTTAGAGTATTAGCATTACTGAGCACCTTTGGTGTGCTAGTCACCCAGGAGTGCCAGCTGATTTCTAGCAATTATTTCATTTAATCTTTGTAATAACTCTGTGACATAAGTATTATTATCTGTATTTTATCCATGAAGAAATAGAAGTTTAGAGAAGTTAAGCAACCTTGTTCAAGGTCCTACAGTAACTGAGGAGTTGTGATTCTTCCTCACTTTTGTCTGATTCCACAACCCATGCTCTTTTTACTATCAAAAGAACTCATATATAAAAACATATATGCAGTTTATAGACTAAATTTTTTAGACCATCCCACCCATCTAGGTTGTCACAGAGCACCGAGCTGAGCTTCCTGTGCTTTATAGCATGTTCCCACTGGCTACTATTTTACACATGGTCATTGTACAGCAGAAACGAACACAATGTTGTAAAGCAATTATACTCCAATAAAAAAGAAAAGTAAGGGTAGTATCATGGGGGACCCAACAGGAGATAGTTCTTCACTCCTTGCATAGCTTCCTTTTATAGAATAGAGCCTGCTACAGTCAGAAAGGACTTTGGGAAGGTATCGGACCCGCTCTTTTGCCCACAGACATGTTTTAAAAGACAGGTTTTAATAAGCTCCAGAAAATGGAGCCTCTTGGGTTGCACAATATCTTTGGAGGCAGGCTGCCTGGGCTTGTGTCCAAGCTCAGCCACTCAGCCGTAGTATGACCTTGGGCAATGCCTTACCCTCACCTCGCTTCCGTGTTTTTTCTACAAAATAAGGACAATAGTAGCAATGGGTTGTTTGAAGATTAAACAAATTAAAACATGTAAACTACTTTGAGCAGCGACTTACACATACAAAAGTACCCCATGCCTGTAGGCCATCAATGATTATTTTTACTAGTACCTCTTTACAGCTGTTGATGATTTTCATTTCAAGGAGATTTTTCATTTTGAACTTCTTTTTGCTGAAATTTCAGAATGTTTTCTCTTTTTCTCACTCATAGGAAATGGGGATGACTAATCATAGCATCATAGAAGGTGAGAAGGGAAGGGACCTCAGGCTGTATCAGTTCCTGCTTCCTGCCCTTGTAAATGAGCCTGGGGAAGGGAGGTGATGGGCTCAGGTTCTTACACGACAAGAGTAGGTTTTGAACACACGTTCCACTCTAGTGGGTTTCTTTTCCATTGTATAATAACTCTTCACAGGCTGCAATTCAACACTGTTTAATTTCACTAAGACTTACTCAGGCTAATTCAGGAACGTGCCAGGCCAGTGACCCTGTGGGAAGAGCTGACCAGTGCTGAGTATAATAACATTGCCATTCTTATAATCTTATAGCAACTCATTAGCTTTCTTTTTCTTAACAGCATTGTCATATTGTGGAATTGCATTTATTCTGAAAAAGAAGGGGGAGGAGATTTTTTTTTTAACATCTTTATTGGAGTATAATTGCTTTACACTGTTGTGTTAGTTTCCGCTGTATAACAAAGTGAATCAGCTATATGCATACATATATCCCCATATACCCTCCCTCTTGCGTCTCCCTCCCACCCTCCCTATCCCACCCCTCTAGGTGGTCACAAAGCACCGAGCTGATCTCCCTGTGCTACGCAGCTGCTTTCCACTAGCTATTTTACATTTGGTAGTGTATGTATGTCAGTGCTACTCTCTCACTTCATCCCAGCGTACCCTTCCCCCTCCCCGTGTCCTCAAGTCCATTCTCTACGTCTGCGTCTTTATTCCTGTCCTGCCCCTAGGTTCTTCAGAACCATATTTTTTTAGATTCCATAGATATGTGTTAGCATATGGTATTTGTTTTTCTCTTTCTGACTTACTTCACTCTGTATGACAGACTCTAGGTCCATCCACCTCACTACAAATAACTCAATTTCGTTTCTTTTTATGGCTGAGTAATATTCCATTGTATATATGTGCCACATCTTCTTTATCCATTCTTCCAATGATGGACACTTAGGTTGCTTCCATGTCCTGGCTATTGTAAATAGTGCTGCAATGAACATTGGGGTGCATGTCTCTTTTTGAATTATGGTTTTCTCAGGGTATATGCCCAGTAGTGGGATTGCTGGATCATATGGTAGTTCTATGTTTAGTTTTTTAAGGAACCTCCATACTGTTCTCCATAGTGGCTGTATCAGTTTACATTCCACCAAGAGTGCAAGAGGGCTCCCTTTTCTCCACACCCTTGGGGAGGAGATTTTGTCTCTGAAGGGAAGGCAGGCTCTGGCCATTGATCTGTCTATTCCTCAGTAGAAAGGGTCAGAGGTACTGCTATGGGGACAAAGGCAGGAAGTGAGGAGCAGGGTCCCTAATGAGTGGGGTTTACTTAGGTGAAGAGAGAGCGGGAGAGCAGCCTTTCTTCTTTATACTGAACAGCTGCTATGCACTCGGTGTGGAGCTAGTCTCCCAAAGGAATGCGAAAGGACCCAGGGCAGGATTTGAGATTTCAAGGAGTTTCTTTAGAAAGGGGTAGAAAGCAAGGGTGGAAGTGTAGTGGACCCTCTGGAGGAGTACTTTGAGGCTCTGTACTCCTGCAACAACTATGAGACTTTTTACTCCTGCAGCTCAACTTGGCTAGGAGGAGATTCTCCAGCTGACCAGAGGGGAGAATAGCATAGCAGGGATGCAGACTGAAAATACAGGGCTAATAGGGTGCTTTCCCGTGGCAACCGGGTGTCAGGGTGTGGTGGGAGGTATTTATGACCAGGGGTTGGATTTGGCTTTGCCACCCGCTGGCTGTGGGCTGGAGAGAAAGTCAATTTCTCCATTCCTCAGTTTCTGCATCTTCAGTGGAAGAGGATGAACCAGGAGGTGATTGAAGTTTCTCACCATTCTAACACTCTGTGTGTTGTGGGGCATAGCGGTAGGGCCGTAGGGCTGAGAAGGAGATCCTTCATGTGGAAAACATAATGATGGTTTGGATGCTGAGAAATGGCCTAGTTGTGAACTCAGAGATTTTAATTGTTATTACAGAGGAGTGTTATTGCTACCGGGTCAACTGTCTGGTTTCAACATGTAGTGCCAGTAATATTGGCTCCTTTGTGGTTCTTTTATTTATAAACTTGGTGCATGAAACTCTTCTTCCTCCTTAAGGCAGTTGAGGTAGTTAATCTTCCGTTAATCACTCATGACCATAACGTGCTCTGCAGACACAGTTGAAGTCTTTATGGGCGAGGAGGCCTTGGATGTGACAGAGCTGCTGACAGCTCAGACCCAAGCTATGTGGGCTTTTTGTTTGTTTGTTTGCTTTTTTTGGTATTGTCTCTGTGGATGCTGACTTTCCTTCTACTGTCTCTGAGAAATATTGCTCACTTCTCTTAGGTGACAAGTGAGGATGGAAAGCAACTCCGAGGCCTACCCTGGGCCTTGTGGTCCCAGCACAACCAGAAGTCCTGGAGGCGGAATCCCTAAAGTTTTGCGAGGAATTGTGAAAACCCTCCAGCTTTCTCCACAGTTACTCCAAATTCCTCAGGTTCCTGGAGATGAGGAAAAACCAAGAACATCACTGAGGTAAGCATGTTTTATGTCAGCTTCCCTGTCTATTGGGACAGTTTTTGGGAGGCATGTGGATCTGCAAGTGTAGATGAGGTGGCAGATTCTCTCCTGGGGCTGCTGGAGTAGTGTCATCTTGGGGACCAGCAAGAGAAATGCTTCATCCAATTCGTATGCTCTCCTTTTATGGTTGGGAAGACACACTCATCAATCCATAGAATGTGGTCACCTAAGGAGGGAGAAAAGGCAAAGGGCTCAGTGTGACCTGCTCCATATTCCATTTGTCAATCATCCAAGTCTGCCATCTTCCTTTTCATGTTCTAAGTTTTGACCTTTTCAGTATGGCTTCCTCTCCACTTGTGCTAATTCATGGAATTCCATCACTTGGTTTTGAAAAATGGAAATCTTTCTTTCACGAGAAAGCCTGCCATCCCCACCACTTCCCTGCTCCACCCCATTTTATCCCTGTCATGGGGGGATGTCCAAGGAATGTAGGAGCTCTTATGTCTGCTCTCCAAGAGTAAGTTATTTGGTGTTCTAGAGTGCTTTATTATCTACCCTTCAGAAAATCTTGTTAGTGGATAGATGAGGCTTGGATAAAGCATTTCTGAGGGCAGAGTTGTCACCAGTCTTGTGCACTATTATATCCCCAGCATTCAGCACAGTGCAGGATATGTAGTACTCATTCATTCCACATTTCATCCACTCATTCATTCCACACGTTTGTTGAGTGCCCATATTGTGCCAAATTTCTAAGTGCTGGAGTTAAGGCAGTGAAGAAAACAGACAAAATCTCTGCCATCATGGAGCTTGTGTTCCAGTCAGTGGAGAGCTAAATAACAAATAAATAAGCAAGTAAAATATACAGCACATCAGATGGTAATAAATGCTGTGGAGAAAAATTAAGCATAGAGGAGAGATGGTATTTGCTGGAGGAAGAATAAAAAATATTACCTCTGACCAAAAAATATTAGAGATGTATAACCCCATGATTTCAATTTATATTTGGAGGCAAGATGTTGAATTGAGAAGTAGGAAAGAAGCCTCAATTCCAGAGTTTTTTCACCTTGTTGCTATGGAGAATTTATTAGCCAGTACTTTCTGTCTGAGGCACTGCAGGGGGCTAAGACTCTACCTAGAGTGGGGAAAGTTTTGTTTGAACTCAGTTCTCTTCTTTGCTTGGTGGCTCCCACACCTTAATTCAGCGCTTTCTGGTGTCAGTTTCCTCATTTTTGAATGCAGAGAACTGGATGATAGATCTTGAGCCCTTCTGCTGCCTCGATTAAGTGATAATAAGTCAGTGAAAATGGAAGAGACAAACTTGGACACTCTGTCTCACTGTGCAGATATATATGGATGGTAAAGTTGGCAATTCTGTGGACCCTCCAGGGACCCGCAGAATTTCTCCAGCTCTCATCACACTAGCCCCAGACCCCTGTAGCTGCCATTCCAGACAGGCCTCTGAGAAGGCAAGAAGAAGGCAGTGAATGCATTAGCACCCTAGAGACTCTAAGAGAATTCAACAAGCTACTGCCTTTGACAAGCATCAGAAGGGAGGAAGATGTCGGCCCATTTCCCATGTTGTGGCCTGGGAGACAAGCTGCAGACCTAGGGGTGGGCTCAGGAGTGGAAGTGGGAGGGGGCTGTGTAGCCGCAGTCCTCCTTCAGTCACAGGAGTGAGGAATCTCCGGAGAACAGCCTGGAAGCTGCAATTGCAACTGGTGTTTTAAAGCAAGGGAGGGAGAAGTGGAGGTGGAAGGGGTTAGGTACCCCTACCCCCATTCCCTCTCCCCGGGACTGGCCAAGGAGTCAAGGGCAACCTCTGCATCACACAGATGACTGGAATTCACACAATTGTTCCCAGCTGTTCTCTAATTCAGGCATTGTTATAGGCCATGTATTTCTTTAGTATATCCCACAGCCCCTAGCCCAGTACCAGGGCCGTCTGCCTCTGACCCAGATCCTAGCTCTGCTTTTGGAACCTTAGATAAGCTACCCAGTCTCTCTGAGGCTCAGTTTCTCCATCTGTGACCCTGAGCTGACAATAAAGACCTCACGGGGCTGTCATAAGGATTAAGTGAGTCCATACCTGCAGAGTGGTTGCATCTTGGCACTCTGTAATTTAGTTCACTTTCTTCTCAATTATTCCACTTTATTGTTGGCCCTTTACTTTACTTATGTTAAGTAACATTTATGGCATAGCTACCATGTACAATGCAATTTAATTCCTCTCTATCATTTGCCTTTAACAACACTGTGAAGATGGAACTCTTATTATCTCTGAAGATGTAACTCTTCTTATCCTGGTTTCAAACATGAAGAGGTACAGATAATTTTAGAAGACGGAGTGAAGCTTGTGTTACGATCACAAAATCTCAGAGTTAGAAAACATTGAGAAATCCTCTGGGACCTGTGCTGCATTGTCCCAGTTTCTTGACAGATGGTCACGGAGCATTGGTTTGAATAGGTCTGGTGGCGAGGGCACAGCCCTGTTGTCCCTTATTTCTGACACATCCTGGGGACAGTCTCCTCTATGGACCACCCTCCCCCAACCTCCTGAATCACATACTGTGTCCTTCAGCTCCAGAGTCTGAAATCTGTCGCCCTCCCTTATTACCAGTGGTATCTTGGGCAAGTGTTTTAGTTCTTCTGTGCCTTAGTGTCCTCGTTTGTAAAATGGCGATAATAATAGAAAATGCATCATAGGATTATTGTGAGGATTAAACCATATAACACATGTAAAGTGCTCAGAATAGTGCTTGGCCTATAGTAAACACTCAACAGATATTAATCATTATTACAGCTAACATACAGTTTTATGAATTTGTCCAGATGTTTTCTCTCCTTCTCATCAAAGACATTCTTCTGGTCTCTGTCAGAAGGACCCACTGGGTCTCTTCCTAGGATTCCATTTTGCAGGTCTTTTAAAACTATGGTTCCAAAACTTTGACAACATCTACATAAAGCTTCCAAATATCATTCTTTATCATATATAGATACATATATATGAAAGGTCAGACAAAATCACAAGAGATGGGCAGATTGGGAGGTGCCTTGGTGGAACAGTGAGGATCCCTGACTGGAACCAACTGTGTAACTGTGTGTGTCTGGCAAACACTTGTCAGCCTTTTTTGTACTTCTACGGACAGCAGGATCTTTGATTAGATTATTGATAAGATTATTAATCTTTATTAATAAGCGGCACATATTTACAGCACACAACCTGATGAATTCAGATATACCCATACACCCATGAAGCCATCACAATAATCAAATTACTGAACATACCCATCACCACCAAAATTCCAGTAAGGTATTCAGTGAGGTGAATGGTAGCTTTTCTAGATGAGGTCAGAAGGAAGGACAGGTTCAGCCTCAGCATAGGCTGTCAGTCATCTAAATCTGGAAAAGTACATCGCTCAAGATAAAAGTGGAGTCTAAACTGAGCTGTCCAAAGAAGGATAAAGAAATGCCAGTGGGAAAAAATTGTTCAATGTCTTTTTTCTAGACATATAGAAGAAGAAGTAAAGAGGTAGAGATGGAAAGGAGGGCTACAGTCCAAAACAGTACAGCAAGCTAGAGATCAAGTCTTGCCATCCACGTTGGGAAGATGACAGGCAGTGTGTACCATTGATGCCGAAGGAAGGGAGTCTTCCCACCTTCCCAGCCCCTCTCCTTGAGAACAGCTAGATTCCTGGTGTATATGGCTGGGGAGAAACTGGACATCACCATAGTCATACTTTGGAAAGTGCCTCTTTATGTCATATCCTAAGTACTTTAGGCTGTGTGGCCAAATCTTTTATGACTCTCCAAGAAAACTGTTAAGAGTGTACCGTAAATGCTACAATTTCTGACTCTGTCTCTCCTCTCTCCTGCCCTACACCAGGCCACACCCCACTGGGGGGTTGCCTATCTGAGCACCACTGGAGTGCGTGGGCAGGCTGTGAGCCAGTGAACCTGAAGGAAAGGCATGAACGTCAGCCTTCTCCGGCTTCCATTTCTTGAACTATTTATTCAGGAGAAAGTCATGATCTTGTTGGAACTGCTGTTCCACGTAGATCTCCACATTTTTTGAGCTGCTCAGAAGTGAACCCACAGCAGGGTGGTGGTCGAGGCACAGTAGTAAGATCCTTCATCTCTCTCTGATGCCTCCAGGATATTCAGCACAGCCTGGTTGTTTAAAAAATCAATTTCACCTTGGAAGTTGTCTTCGAAACCAGGGCCATATGTGCCCCCTTCTCGGTATATGAGAGTCATTGTGTTACCCGGTGTTTTCCTGTACCAGAAGGTATAGTAGTTACTGATGGAGTCTCCTTTCATGGAGCACCTGAGGGTGACAGATTCCCCCACAGACACACTCCTTGCTTGGTTTTGAGGCACCAACGTGACAGCTGACATGACTCCTAGAGAAGAGACATGAGAGGGACTTAGTGAGGACTGGGGCTGAGATCATTGAGTAACGGGTGCTGTGCTCGAGGGCCAGGCCCTGGCAGCCTTGATGCCTCGCTGAGCCTTGATCTTTTGAGGTTTCAGGATCTGCCTTACCTGGCCAGAAGAGAGTGAGGTGGATGAGGTAGCAGACCCTCTGCATGGCTCCACTCAGGGACAGCTCTGCCTCCCAACTTGTCCTGTGCCTGGTCCCTCCTCAGAGTCAACACCTTCTCTGTGACGTGTTTGTGCCTGAGGAAACCAGCCCCTGTTGGCAGCTGTTCTGTTACCCAGAGAGGTTTTGTCAATCACAGGAAGCACGCAGAGCCTGCTGACTGTTAATGAGATGACAGTGCCCTTCAAGATCAATAATGTGGTCCAGATAAATAAGGCCAATTGAGAGGAGGTTAACACAGCTTATTTGATTGATCACAAGATTTTTGCTTCCCACCCTAGAAGTTAAGTTTGATATAGTTGCTTCATTTTCATGTTAGAGGTACATGTTGTATGTACTGTGGTGATGTTAAGGGTTAATACCCAGAAGAATTATTGACTTTTACAGCCATAATCAAAAGAACCATCAAAAGAGG